GCAACAAGCTCCGGCACGAAGGCACAGTCACCTCTGGTGAATTCAGCAGAATAAAGCTGCAGAATGGGAACCGCTGTGTTGAGTCGGCATGATGTGGTGTTCAGCGGCTGTAAATACATGCTTGTAGTTTGAATAAAGCTTTGTTTCATGTGTTGTTGACTTGTATAATGCATTTGTTTATTGTGATGGTTACTTTTATTTGTTCTTTTACTCATTTATTCATTTTTATTATTGTTGTCAGTATATAAAATTTAATTATTTAATTAATGTATCCATTAATTCATCGATTGACTGATAATTGAGATGTTTCACTGCATTTATAAATATAAATGTATTCATGCATAACTGTCATATGACAAAACAAATTACAATTTGCTTGTTATATTAAATTATATTCTTAGTATATAAAAAAGTAATATAATTAAGTATTGGTCAGCATTTAATATTATTATTTTGTTTAAGTTTTGGGGTGGGCTAACAATGCAATTCATTCTGAGGTAATATTAATTTTTAAGGAGTGATACTTACATTTTTCGAGTATAAAATCAACAGTTTTCTCCAAAAGAGATCTTCGAGCAGCTGCCCGTCTCCTTTGTGCAGACATTATAAACGCATAGGAAAACTGTTCTAGGTTGTGCTGTCGAGTCACTGATGTTATGAAGTGTTAGTACACCTGTCGCTCATATAATTTAAACTTATAAACGTATTACATACAAGATCATGGAAAGATACCATAATAGTCAATTAGTCATAAAGACAAAACAGAAAACATAAAGATCATTGGTTTGTTTACATCATAATACAGGAAAAAGGAACAATAACAAGGCTAAATATCTTTAAATAGTTCTTCATAATACATGAAAAATGTTGTTGTTTTGTTGTTGTTATAGGTCTGAGGGATGAAACGAGGTAAATTCATCAAGAAAAGGAGGAAAACTTAAAGGAGAAACTTTTTGGGTATAAAATAAAGAAATTAACAACATATTTAAGAGGTGACGATTTGGGGGTTTCTTAATAAAAAAAAATATCGTTATAAGAATAACACTGTGGGTCACATTAGTAGGCATAGGGTTTAAAATATAACAACTTAAATCAACCTTAAATGTATTCACAAAATGAATGGCCAGCTGTTTCTTCAACAATACCACAACAAAATGAGCAAGTTTCATCAATGTCAAGATATTTATAGATAGAAGAATTAAACGTGTCGTTGTTCATTTCTGTTAAGTTTTTGCGCTTGTGATATGATGATAACGCGTCGTAGTAGGTCACATGATAACGTCAACATGGCAGATGTCCGGTTCTCATTCATACTCAACGAGATTTGGAACAGTTACTCATTGAGTATGCGGTTTCGGACGCAGCCGATATGTTTCTGCTCAAAATGAGGTCATTTCAAAAAACAAGACAGACCAAACATGTCCTTGACAAGTACAATATATTTTGCATTAATTCAAAACTATATATATATATATATATATATATATATATATATATATTGCATTAATTCAATATTATATATATATATATATAATTTTATTTACAGGTTTAAGGTGAGATTTTTTGTGGTCTTAAACATTTGGGACAATAGCTGGGTTTCAGTCACGTGATTATGATGACGCGCGGAATTCATGGAGCGCAGGGAGTGAAGAGAGCAATGTACGAGATGGAAAAAAAGTCCGTATGGACCTTATACGGAGCAGCGAAAAAAAAATGTTGGATCGGAGAAACACAGTTACACAAATTCACAAATCATGAATATAACGACATGAGATATTATGCGTTGGCCCACGACACCGCACTGCGGGATCACAGCGAAACGAAAACTGAAAATCAAACCGCAAACTATTACTCCGGTGATAGACCTGCTACCGTGTTTCCAATGGCATCCGCTGTAAAAAGCTGAATAAAGCTCCTAGATTACTTACAGTTTTCCACAGCTTACATTGTGGGGAGTTTTTTGTCAACTGAAATTTCTTGGAAAGATATTTTTCCAGTGTAATAAGCAGAACAATCCGAAAACACAATAAATAACAGTACTACAGCCTCGCTTTTATTCTCATTAAAAATTAAAGATGGCGCTGCCGTGAATAAGGCGTATTGTACTACTTCACACACACGCTACAAGAGAAAGAAATAAACAAAAAAAATCAAACAAATGTTGGACGTGATCCTTACGTTATGAAGAGGAGCGATTTTTCAACTCCTGCCATCGAGGCTGTAACTGCAACTACCTCGTTGACTTTACAACGTTCGGAAACGTTACACGTTACACAAACAGTCACTTAAGTTGTATTAACTCACCTTTGACGAAGTGAAACTCCTTATGGTTTGATCGATTCAAGTAACTATAAATGACTCAAAACACAGGCATTTTGAGATTGTTATAGTGCTTTCTAAATACACACTTCCTGCCCTCCATTTGCATATCACGCCATGGCAACGCAGTGGCGTGACGTCAGGTGAAAACAATTAAGCTATTGAATAAAATGGACAATCAAACAAACAAGTAAATCTAACAGACAAACTAGATGTGATTTGATAAAAGATAGTTCAAATAAAGGTCAAAAATTCTTCAAGTGAAAATCTTTTAAGTGAAGTTCCTAAACGTAATTTCGGGAGTAGGCCTAGTGAACCCATCTAATCTTTCAATTAACTGCCAAAGCACATGTCAGCTACTTATACCATGCTCTAGCATCAGCCGTTTCTGCATCCCTTCACCAACATAATTTATGCATCTTGCTACCATACTCATCTTCCAAGCAGTAGGGGGTGTATCTCAGCTCGAGTTTAAGCTGCTTCCTCGAGCCCCTCCATTGCAGACAGCAAGACAAATATGGGCAAATTAACTTGTGAAATTAAAAATCATGTAATAAAATTGGAATATTCTTTTTATGTCATTATGTTTTATTGTAATTTTTTTTTTAATCCAAAATGATCAGCTCTCAGACTTTTTGTCTACATAAACGGACAAAGTAAGTAAATCAGAAATACTGGGTGCAGAACACATCAGATATGCGGTCAAGGCAATCTACAAGGAGTTTGCACTGGTGTTCCAAGAGTCTTCCGTTTGTAAATATTTGAAATGTATTTATTTATTTATTTTTCTGTGATAACTATAAGATTCTGAAGGGCGGTACAGCCAACATGTTCAAAAAAGATTTTTTCTTAATTCTGTCAAGAGAGGCAGGGAATACTTTAATAAATTGAGCAAAACCAAAACTATAGTTCTCAGATAGATATCACAGTTCTCTTGGGGGTTGTTTGGTACCATAGTGTATAAAATGAAATATATGCTTTTATTTATACACCAAAACATCCTGTTTTAGACCTTCCTTTTCTTGAAAATATAGCTAGATCAGCCAGTGTATTCCTCTCAAGCATTTTACTTGGTCAGCACTTCACTCGCAGTCAGAAATGTTGCTTGAGGTATCACTTAAGGTGTTGGAAAACAGGATCAAAAGGATTGATACACAGCTTTTGACATGCTATTTGAGCATGTAGCTCACTATAATTGGTCGTGTCATCATGCATTAAATTAACAATGTATGGTGTAATGCCCTGAAACGAGTGTCTTTTGCAAATCTGTCAGATATCATGCCAAAATGCTCTTGACAGCTGTCTGGGGAAATGTTAGTGAATTGCAATTCAGCTTCTCAAAATATTCCCTGTCCAGCTGTTAGATATTTTGGACGTACAACAACTTTCTTGAGTTTGTTTATTGGGCAGATTGAAAAAGGTGTAATGCACCATAGTTCTTCATACTGCTTAGTTTTTAACTCATGATCTTCCATGACTCAACCATTTAAACCATATTTAAAGCATTATGTCCAACTTAATTTAAACTGACTGTACAGGAGTAGGACAATTTTCCCATTCTTTAAGAAAAGGAAAATGACCTTAACCCGTACCCTTGTGCTGAGAATAATTCAGTCAGTGTGGACTCTGTGGGCAGCTGCCTCCATTCTGTCCCATGAGCGCTCTGGAGCTGTCATAAACTGTCACATCAACTCAGGTCTGGTCACAATATGAACCGACACTCAAGAAGCGGGTGAACAGGATTTCCAAGAGGCCATGATACGATGAAGATTGCTCTAGCTCAGTGATCAATTTATTTCAGGTTAACCATGAAAATGTTTTGCTAATTAGGCTACACCAGAACAGAGATCCACACAATACTGCAAAATGAACACTCTTGGTGTACATATAGATCTGTGGACCTACACTAGGAGATTTAATTTAACACTGGGGATTTTAGAAGTAACATGTTTTGAAAAATTAATGCTGGAAATAATGTCTCAATTTTTTTCAGGTGCTGGCCCACATTCTATAGATTTATAACAGCTAACTTCAGACAAGATGTCAGACAAGAAATAAGCATGACGGTAGTACAATCTGTACAGCATTTCACATCAAATTCAAGCTACTGTTTTCACATCAACTTTTTTTTTTCGATTGGCACATGTGTCAGAATTCCTGTTCAAACTTGTCTGATCAGGTTGAAGCTTATTGCACTGTCAAACGTAGCTATCTTCTCATTAGTCTGGGCCCCTTCCCATCAGTGCATGCGCTCAAATTAGATTGACATCCAAACTGTTCAGATATACAAAGCAATTTAGATGATATTCATTAGAGCGATGACATAGGCTGATGTGACTCTGACAGGAAGCACTTCTCTCTCTTTCTCTCTCTTATTTTATTACCACTGAGGCGTGACTACCCCCACTAAATTCACTGTGCCAAAGGAACAAAACAAAAAGACACAACAATGTCAATTCACTCTGTCAATAGTGAATGGGGAAACAAGCTAACATTACAAAGAGAACAGATATCTGAGATGATGGTTAAACTTGGCATGGTAAGAGTTAAAAAATCTGCACTAAAGAGCAGCATTATCATGAGATTTCAAATTCTGAAAAAAAAATTGATCCAATGACTAGTCACACAGATCCATGCGTTTGAAAAAAAAAAAGTGTTTTGGACTCTTGGATGATTAATTAAACAATGGGTTTAAATATATTGAATGCTGAAATCAGGTTAAACTGGTGCCATAATCAGAAAAACATTAATTAAACAGAATAAAAATGTGAATGGCATGTATTAAAAAAAAAGACAAACAAGTTTTTGTTCTTCAAATTGTTTTTGTTTTTCTATAAAAAGACTGCAGTTTTTTTACATTTTACATATTTGGATGGCATGCCTCATTCAATGTATTAACATTCAACAAAAAATGTGTAAATAAAAACAGTCAAAAATGTCTGGTTAAATAGACTGATTAACAAATCTGGCTAGAATAAAAATTAAGAAGTGATACAGAAGTGAAAACGCATCTGTAAAAAAGCAAGTCATTGCAAATTATATCAACAACAAAGAGGTTTAAGACTACGTCTTTTATAACACTTTATATACAGTTCTTTAGTTATACATCTCAATAAATCAGATTCTTTATGCACAAACAAACCAAGTAGTAGCACAGGCAATAATGAAAGCAAGCCATATTTTGGAAAATATGCATAACATAGTTTGTCTATGTACAAATTTACATTCTTTTCTCATCAGAACAGAAACATCTCCCCCCAAAATGTTCATGATTATTTCAGAACGTTCATAATTTTAAGACACGTTTACATATAATAGATTTCTTATACGGAGTATCTATTTGGTAAAGCTGACATTAGCCACCTTAGAACTTTTAATGCTAAATTCCCATGACAACACCAAAGATCACAAAGCTTAGCCTACAAGGCCAATTATGTATGTTAATGCACGAATATGTAAGTAACTGTGAATTAATCGTTACACTATGGTTCTACTGTCTGTTCTCAACTTTGAGTACAATAAATATCCTGGCATACAATGTTAACTGTAAGATTATATAGTTTGTTTACAGCGCTGGCACTGGTAGCAGTTGCTCCTGACATCCTCTAGCTGGCGATACAGCTGGAAGCACAAGTTTTAAGGAAGTGCTTTTAGAATGCTTCATAATGTTCTGGTTGAAATCCTTAGAAGAAAGTTTAGCCAAGTCTTTCATTTTAAACCCAAGGTGTGACTCGAGGTGACAGATGTAAGTAGAACGAGCTTGGAACTGTGTTGCACATTCGCTACAGTAGAAAACTGGGCGTCCTGAGTCAACGTTCTTTATGAACTTTGTTCTGCCTGTTCGTCTGAGCTGGTACTTCACATTGGCCAGCCAGTGGCTGATGGTTGTCATAGATAGACCTGTTATTTGTGATATGACCATCCTTTCCTGGGAGCTCAAGTCTGATATCACATACTTTCCATCAGCTGTCTGCCTGAGGCAAGACGTGAACTGAGCCTGCAAAATCAGCAAGTGCTGGGGTTTCCAGTGTGACTGCCTACCTTTACGTTTGTGCACCACTGACGTATCCTCTGCCTCATCTGATGTATGGGAACCTTCGATTTCTGACTGCTCTGGCCTACATAAAAGTGTTGGGGGTTTCAGAACTTGAGAGTCTGAGAGATTCCGCAGCATGTCTGATATGTCAGAGAGGGCATTTTCCCGCAAAGGACTCACTGGTGTGAAGATTTTTGAACTAGTTGATTCAGTCACAGATGAACTCACAGCTTTGCCTGGTAGGGCAGCAGCTCTGAGACATTGTTCACTTTTGCCTTTGGACAAGTCTATCGGTTGGTCTCTGCAAATTTCATGGCAGTCCAAATGTGACTTGCTAAGTTTCGTCGAGTGTCCAGATGGAGCGGCGAGAGCGGCCCTTTCTGCCATGCTGTTGCTCATCCTGAGAAGCATACTCATAGGGTCCTGGACAGGCCTTAGCGGTTTGGCAGCTTTACCCAGATGAAGGTTCATAACAGACTGAAGGGCACTTAGAGGACTAACAGAGGGTTGTTTTGGCTCAGGGTGTGCAGATAATAGACCAGCGTCACCATACAGATCTGAAGTAGAGGTGGTGTGAGTTCTGAAGTCTTGCGTGTGCTTCTGAATTTCACTTTCGTTTGTGTTACCCTCGGTAATATTGCTCATAGATGTAATCATGTTATCCAGGCTTGGAGATTTTGACACCAGTGATTTCCCTTTAAGATTCAGCAGCTGCAGATGTGGTGATCCCTGCCCATTCACGTCATTAAATTGCCTGTCTACTTCAGCAACCATTGCGGATACTTTGTTTTCCAGTTTGTCCACCTCATGGAGATTAACTGTGTTTGAGGAAGCTTTTGGTGGAATGCTTGGAGGAATCAAATGACTTTTGTCTAAAGACTGGACTTCCTGACTACTGGATGATTGTTTTAAAGAAGAAATATAGCCTGAGTTGTGCAGAGCAGGTTTCAGATGGTTTTGCAACTGATAAGCTGCATGAATGCTCTGGTAACCGCCCCAGCTTGGGGCACCCCTCTGTGCTTTGTTAATGGCAGATGTCACTGTATTCTCCAGTGATTTTAGAATATCAAAATCCATTTTAGGACTCTCTTTTAGATCATCTTCAGTAAGGTATTCAGACTTTGTTAATGTGCTGAATTTCTGCTTAATGTCATTTACATTTGCAGACTCCTTGCATTCACTGTCTTTCTGAGAAGTAATTTCTTGTGTCTTGTTCTTGTTGTCCCCAGTTATTACAGATGTTATGGATGATGACTCCAAGATTCCTGTGGCTGAGAGTGGGGAAGAACATGTTGTACCTGACTGAGACTTCTCAGACTTACTTTTAGGATGAGGGGGCTTGTCTGTTTTTTGCAATGATTGAGTAACTTTTACAAAGTGGCCGGTCAACACCATATGAGCACTCAAGTGCTGAATAGAGTCATGCAAAATACCACACTCCATACATTTAAGATTCTGTGACTTGAACTGTGTACCACGGTTTGTCGTCTTTTGATCTTTAAAGTTTTTACTGTTGGTTTGTTCAGAGTACATCTGAAAAATATCACTGGCCTGCCCATCATTAGGACTTTTTGTCTGCTCCATTGTTTGCAAAGATTTTGCAGCATCCATCTCCATTGGAACCCTCTTTCTGAATGAAGACACAACTTTAGCAGCAATTGCTGTTCTTGGCTCCCTCAGAGGAACCTTTTGGTAATGCTTAGTCTTTATCATGTGCACACTGAGGTCTTGCAAAGATTCAAAGGAGTGTCCACAGTACATACAGCGTAGGACTTTCTGGGCATCTTCCTTTCCTTCCATCTCCAAAAGAGAGCGCTTACGTGGCTTGGACCATGACTTGGCACCCTTGCTAGCACTTTCGAGGTTGTCATCACGGTAGTGGTCTGTTTCATTCATATGCACTGTGAGATCAAGCAGCGTGTCATATGCTGCACTGCAGCTTTTGCAGTGGAACTTGCTAGCACCATTAAAGATGGATCCATAGAGTTTAGTGCTTTGGCGGTAGAGCTGGACAGTGGAAAAAATACTTGGTTCAAGTGCAATAGGTTGTTTTTGAGAGACCTGTTGGAATGTCTTTGCAATAGCAGACTGATGCCAATCGTAGCAGTTGCGTCCAGGACTGCTGTTGCTGCTACTGCTACCGCTGCTACTGGCTGTCTGTTCATCTGCATACGGTTGAGAGGAATTCAAGTTCAAAAAGGACCAGTAGGGATTGTTGAGAAAGCTTTTGTATATAGCCTTCATCTGTTCTAGGCTGTCTGTAATACATACAGTGTGTTCAGAATTGTCTTTTAGAAAGTCTCTTGTGGCCTCCACCTCTTTTTTGTTTGGGGTGCTCTCTGTATCTGATATGGGATCACTAGATTCACTTATGTGAGATTCACTGTCAACATCATGACTTGATAGCTCGGCAGCAGGGGAATGTTGTTCATCCATTGGGATTTTTAAGTCTTCTCCCAAATCATCTTCGTCCTGTAGTGTCTCCTTGGCCACTGAGCAATCACTTCCAGTATCTTCAGTCTCTATGGGGGTCTCCTTTACATTCTCTGAATCATAAGCTAGAGGGGGAGAAGAAAAAAAATGTATTAAGTAAATGCTACACTGAAAGGTAAGTAAATGAAACAAAATTTAGACTAATGTCATTATTCTATGAATGAGGTGATTGGGACACGCCCCACATGAAGTTGAATTTAAAATTGCAATTCAGCAAATTCCTCTTTCTGAAATTCCAATTTAAAGACGTTCAAAACAAGTGTTCTTCCACCCTTGCCCACAAATATCAGTCTTACATTAAGGTTGCAATTCTGTATACTATATAGCATATAATCAGGCTATTTACAAGAGGCTGCACCTGCTACCATTTGGCCCACCTCCCCACATGTCCACACACCTGTGCACATATAAAGAGACAAATAGATAGAGGGAAAAGGTGGACAGATAGATTGAGAGGTTAAGGGGAATGACATAAGATGGCGGCACATAAGCCACCTGTCACTTTGAATCCCACCTGACGACTGTTCACCTTGGACAGGTGACGTGTTGCGAGAAAGGTGTCTGCTTGAGCACCTCAAGATGACAGATCCAAGGGGACACGGTCGCCCTTCTCCCTGCCAGCTGCCCTCACACCCTCAAAAGAGCCCATCCACCACCGTCCTTCGGGACTGATGATCCCGTCTCCTGACAGCCTGTTCCCTGCTAGTTTGACACTGTCACTCTGACTCTGTAAGTGGAACAAATGCCCTCTTGAAAGCCATACCAACCCCCCACCCCCGTCTCTGTTCCACTCTATTCACTCTTGTTTGTGTGCGTATTTGTGATTATGTTGCTCATGTCAAAAGGAAAATGCTTGAAATGTCAGATGTTTGGAAATACAGCAGGCCTTGAATTACAAACTAACATGGTGTGCTGCTGCATGTGTGATTCAAGTGCATTGTGCCATGCTAACGGTCTCTCTTCCTTTCTCTCTCTTACAAGATCCACCACAGTCTTGACAAGAGTGTTAAAGCACAAATAGCTCTCATTTCAAATGATAATACACAATCTCACAAGCCCACGCTTCTCTCATTTAGCCTCTCACTGGCTGTCAGCCAGGCGGCCCACAGGATGGGGGGCTCTAAAGGATAACTGGCAGGTGCAGGCCAGTCTTATCCCCTCTGTAGATTTGGATTGTCACTAGGTATCCATTACTTGCCAATCTCCTCTGATCGTGCCCGACAGCCTTGATCAAAAGATGTCATTTGAAAGGCCTGATTTGGCATGAACTCCAAAGCAGTTCGAAAAGAGGGTGAACCAGGTGTAACTACAATGACATGATCATTTTCCTGCCCTCTCATATCCCTGAGACAATTACGGTGACACACAGAGGGTTCACAATGCCAAATTGCTTTTTTCTTGTACAGACGGCGAAGACTACAAGACTGTAATTTTTTTTTTTTTTTGGGGGGGGGGGGGGGGGGTGTTTCTGGGCATGTAAACATGTAAAATATAAAACAGAATCAGAACAATTCAACTTTAACAGGTACAGATATTGTACAGATGTATTCAAGTTTGTTCTCATAAAAATCTTAGGGGGTGGAGAAGCTAAGAACACACTTAGAAATTCATCCTAAGAAAAACCCTAAACTTTGACAAATGTGTGTGTGTATCAAAACCAAAGCCCACTAAATTTGAACACAATCTTTAACCTCGAATGATTTATAATCCATCTCAGGAGGCACCTACCATAACCAATTATTCTCAAAAGGCTTGATTGACAGGCTGGGTGATTTATTAGGCTAATAAAATATGATGTGTGCAATGAGCTCTAGCAGGACAAAAATCCAGGAGACTTTAGTGGCACTCGCCCTGTTTGATTTATGTAACTATTACATTTGTCTCCATATGACCAGTCATTAACCCCCTCCACCCTACAGACAGAAACAGCACATAAGACATTTAAATTGGAACATCAGGGTATACATAACATTATTTATTTAATGTGTATGCATTATTGATTACTCTAAGACGGAACAGAGGTCAGATACATGATTACATTTAAAATAGACCTTTTTGTGAGTGTGCATGCATCTACTCACAACTGCTTTGCACTTTGTGTATTTTCTAGATGATCAAATTTTTACATAAAGTAAAAATTAGACGAAACCATTTAATGCCATAGATTAGTCTTGTTACATAGGTCTTGTTACGAAACTTTGCAATAATACCCAATAAGATGAGTTTGATATGCATTGAATGGTTGCTCGACATACATAAAGCTTTCTGGCAGTAAATACTTTAGCTTTTCATTCTCAGAGATAGCATGACTCTCTTGCAACCTCACAGTGGGATACAGATTGAGGCTAACTGTGAGAATTATTCTTGCTTCAGGCCATGCTAATGTGCAACACATGACACTTTGATCAAAATAAAGTAGCGTTCAGGCAACATGTTGAGATGCCCCCATGCCAAAAATAGTGTGCTTTGCTGGAATCAGTGATGATTTTAACTACAACAAAAACACTGTTGGTGTATATCTGTGTCCTGGGTCTTATCCATTCTGTAGTGTTTCTCTTTCTCTGCTGAGGAAACTTAAAACTGACCATTTACTGTAAATGCAGGAAGGTAAACAGTCTCTGCTGACTGGAATTCTACTGATCATAAACGTCCTTTCAGGGGAGATATTTCTCTAATTATCACTCTGTGTGCCTTTGATTCCTTTTCCCCCTTGACAACAGTGTGTCTGATGTGTCTCAGCTGCCAAGAGTGATTGGCAACAATTCTATGTGTATCTAAGCCAGCAGCTGCTGAGATGATGGCCCAGCATCAAAGAACTCAGTGAGATGGATGACACTCATAATTCTACTCTGCAGGGACAGGGTGGGGGTGGTTGGGGGCAAAAACCAACATTAAAAAAAAAAAAAACAGACTGTCACCCCCAACCTTTCAAGCGAGGCTTTGTTACCCTCTTTAATGAGCTTCCGATAACTAGGAATTGAGTTCACAGAGAATACTGGAAGAGTTGGTTGGGACTGCAATACCAAACTCCCAATCTTATCCGGCAATGACCACCCGATGGACAGCTGGTGTCTCGTAACAAACATGGAAAGAAAGCAAAGCTATTCATCATAGAGAGGACATCTAAGACCCTGTGCTCTGTCTATGCCTCTCTAACTCTCAGGTTACAGGCTTATACAGCCGTCCAAATAATATTCACTGTGATAAATGGTTCTCTAAGCCGCCTACCTCTCATTAATCTCTTTCTTTAAAGGAGCATCCATCATGGAGCAGGGCTAGAGCTGTAGAAGAGAGTTCATTTACAGGCCAGCTGTGCTTGAGTGATGCGTGTCATTTTTAGCTTGGACAGGAATGCGCAATCGTAAACACGTACAAATGTCCACGTACGTGAATACCCAAAGAGGTTGAACGCACACGCAAACGTGTATTATTGAGAAGCAAAGTCGGCGATTGACGGACTGATTGATTGATTCAAAACATGGTTTGGTAGGTTAAAAATTTTGAAATGTGCAATGAAAGACATTCCCACCTTTTGCTTAAGTAGAAATTATCATGCATTTACCTTAATTAGAACTCATTTGTCTTTTCACTTGCTGAACAAGTAATGTATCTTAGTCTGTCATCGGCTGAGTTCTCTACCCAAAGAAGGCTTTCAATGACTTAATGACTTAACCGCTTAACTCAGCAGTGTGAAAATGTATTGAATTTTCTTGCCCGTGTCAATTTCTTTTAGTCTAAATACAAACCCCATATAGCACCATCTCTCTGTTTCGCTTTTAAACATTTGGCCTGTATCTTTCACTTCCTAACTTTCTCCCAGTCTTTTCCGTCCAATTCTCAGCAATATTTCTCCTTTCTTCCCTCCCTCAGTGTCTCGGAAAGCCTGGGTGATAGATGACATGTGTCAGGATGCCAGAAGTAAAGGGTGGCAGCGTGATTAACGGCTCTGTTGAAAGGGTAATTGACGGTTTGGCATTGTGCTGATCTTCTCCACCAGGGTTTGGTTTCTGGACCCCTGAGGACCAGACTGACTCATTTTTCTAAAATGGACCACAAGCTAAAAGCCACCTCCCATGAGACAAAAAAGAGATGGATTCTTGTCTTCTTAACAGAAGATTGATATCTTCATTGTCAACACAGCAAAGTAACATTCATATAAGTTTACAACCACAATAGAGTGCTAGAGTGTAGAGTGCTAGTTCAAATGAGAGTTTGGATAGATAGCAGGTCAATGATGGGCTGGGGGGCATATTTAACTGTTATTTATAAGAAAATTTAAAATAATTTGCTTCACTTAAAAAAAACTGCAAAATCTAAAATAATAACATCAAACAGGAAATTATGTCATAGAGAGGATCTCTGCAGACCTTCATAACTGTAAATAAGTCTCTGCAAATCACACAATTAAGATTTTTTTAAAATGACAAAGCAAGGTTAGTTCATATGATGTGACTCCCCAAAACAATTTATGAATTCAAAATTCATAGTATTTGTAAACAAAGAGCAGTAAAACTATTTTTTTTTTCCGAAAATATAGTACAGTTTAGTATAGTTATTTCAAAGAACCTGGCTCATGTTTTAAACTAGATTTTTCCTTTTAATTATCATGGACCAGCTCTTATACCCCATATAGTAAAAGGCATCTATTTATTTAGTCAGCTATGACTTAAAAAGTTTGGCTTAAATAAAAAAAAAGGATTAAACAGAACATTCACAAAGTAAAACTAAATTTGCCCATCACATCAATAACAGTTATGAACACATTCAACTTATGAACACACCATCTGTGTGCATGTGTGAAATGCAAGAATGTATATGATTACTTTAATCTTTTGTCTCAGCCATGTGTAAATCAATAGGGTTCTAGCAGTTTTGAAACTGTTGGCAGTGATTACAGGCATGCCTGGCTGGAGAGGTATGTTGACACTGGTTTGGATTAGGGAATAGTGGGCCTCTATGGTTTCCTGCCCTTTCATCATCGCCACCATCAAGCCCAGCTTCTGCGTCACATCCACGCATGACTGATGGCCGCTTGTCCGGATGACCTGCCTTGCACCTCAGATCTGACAGCGACTGATTTTACCCTTAGAAAGAGGGAGAAGGCAGGGCCTGGAGTCGCGCCCAACAGAGCCTGAGAACCGAGAAGATTTTTGGCCAGGGTGGCCCGTGGGATTTGCGGAGGAGTGTCCGATTAACTCAAATTATCAACCCACACACAGACTGAGAGAGATCTAACTAACAAAGTTGAAACAAAGTACAACTCTCAAAATAGATTTGATGTCTAATCTGTCATTCCAAATATGGCTCAAAGCCTAACAGACAGATGAAAACATCCATTTTAGAAGGACTGGTGGTTCAACATGTTTGTCTCCTCATAACAGTTCAGAAGCATCTAGATTCAAGACAAGCACCAAAAAAGCTCATTTGTCACGTAAAGGTGCTAAATTGGGTTATGGCAATAGGAAAGGCCACCAAGAGTGGCTGATATCAACTTGATTACATCAAGGGAGCACAAACCTAATATGACTTGGTGACAGACGCATATCTTGTCATCTCCAATCACATGTCAGGAATCCATCAAGTTTACAGCTAATTAGGTGTGCTCAAAAAAAGCAAAGCAAAATGTTTCTTTTTACGGAGGACTGCAAACCTTTAGTGCAAGAGAGAGATGGGGAAAGAGTACATTGCTCTAAATCTCTCATTAAGACTGTGCATCCCACACAGAGAAAAACAATGCATCAGAATCAATAATTCGGTCATCATCAGGTTAAAAAAGTAAATAACACTTCACTGGATGTGTTCATACCTGTAAACCATAAACTCACACTTGTAAACCACTATGGTCACCACTCTGCACAGGGTCCATGAGTGAAGTTTGGTGGAGCATCTTGATGAAATAAAAGCCTAGGCAAGCTTATGGGAAAAAGAAGGAGAGCACTCACATGGCCTTGCTCTGATTGACCATTAAAGCCTTTGATGGATGAGGCTGTCACAAGGATAACAATTAAATCCAACATGAGACAAAGCTGTTCTGACAGGCCAGTCTAACAGAGCAAGCCATACCCCTCCATTAAACTCTACATCATCTCTGCCTCAAACACACACAAAAACAGTGAAGGCTATATAATAATGGCTTTGTATCTGTTTCAAAGAGCTCTGCTATAAATATAAAAATACCCCAGAACTCCTCCTCTTTCGAATAATAGGATAGGATCTATTCTATTAACCAGACAGATAATGTTTTGGTTAACATGAAGACAGCTTCAGTGGTTTTCACCTCTCTAAAGAAGTTAAAAGAGTCTGAAATGGATATGCGTAAATAACAATGCCTGAGCTGATAAAGAGGGATTAAAATGCCAGTGTTAAGTTCTTGATATTAAATATTCGCATTTATGTTGGTTGTGTATAACAACTTAATGACCTTGATATATCCTACAGATTAAAAGTCTACAGATTTAGATTTTTTTCTAGTTTCTGGGTGTCAAAACAAAAAATGGCTTCCAGAATGTTGGTAATAAAATAAAAAGAAAAAAAGACTTACCAGATTAAATAAATAAAGATATAGTTTTAACAATAGTTTTTCAGGCAGTTGTCTGTAGACAATTTTGTTTTAAACCGCACAAAAATGTAAAAAATAAAATTACAAAGTGGTTATTATTTAAAAGCTGTATTCAAATCATTGTGAATCAACTGCGTTGTACTGTACCTTTAATAAACTTCTGACAAAAAAGCACAGAAAAAGATTAACCAATAACATGACAAATAATGACCCAAATTAGGATAAGGAAAATATGTTTAGATAATCCAGGAAAATAAAAGCGATTACTGATTTTGTGCCTTATGAGATGTACTAAAACGAAGTGTACATAATGGAGGACAGATGAACAAGAGCATCTTGAATTTCAGATAAACTTACCTGCCGCTCGTTTCGGCGCCTGCTGTTTTCTTCGCGGCATAGTTGCGCGCAGACTGTGTGTATATACGCAACCTGAAACGATTTTCTACTGTGTATGTTCCCAGTCAGATGTGTCACCATTAAACAAAAGTACAGCGCAGTCACAACAGATACGCCACTTCGCTTTGGGCATAGGAGAAAGCCCAGGTGCTCCGTGTTCAGCGGTAGTCTTTGTTTAAAGCCAGTCCACTGGAGTGATGAGGAAAACTGCACGGCAGGCAGGATAGTAACGCCTAGTCGATCGCTACGAGTTTGTCACGTCACTCAAAAGTCCGCGGCAACCGATACACTAGCAAAAAGTATGGGGACGTTCACACGTCTAGTTGTGTCCAAAACAGCTAGATATAATGCAGCGAAATGGCACAGAACACAGGGGGTTTCGTTTCGCATTTAAAAGTTAATAAAAGTTACACAACGTTTAACCCGACAACGCTGATGGCGCGAGACAGTGAAACATCAGAGAGACACGACGAATACCAGAAACATCATGAGTGCGTAGTACGTTGACCAACAATTATACAATAGCAGACAAACAACGCTTCCTGTGCTCCTACCGGTCACTCCCACACACAGTCCCAAAAATGCAGTCTAGGTAGGCAGCTCGTAGGGTTTTGAGACACTGCCAATATCCCACTTAAGAGTGCATTAACAAGACCGCTTACACTGACAAGGAGGATGTAACTTAACTCTTTAATGGATAGTACACCCAGAGCCGTTAAATATATTTTTCAATGGCTCTAGTAACACCCAAGAGGAAAACATAGTTTTTATAACAATAACTGAACAAACAATGTTCAGTGTTTTTACAGATTTTACAGTTTTTAAGCACAAACTGTTAATCTTCATTAATTGTTAGTGCAAATTTGGCACAATTTTACATTTATATCAGTTTTCATTTAATTAAAAAGACGCTGTTTGAAACCACTGTCATTAAAATATATTTGTTTGATGTGTAGCCTATATAGGACATGCCAATTATTAATGCTTTGCACATGCGTGCAAATGTAGCCTACTAGGCTACCTATTGTTTTATTTAGCAACCCTAACCAGATCATAGATGGAAAAGACCATGCATTTACAGTCTAAACAGGCAATATAGTTTATGTTTCAAAGCTTTACAGTTATCGATGTAGAGCAGCCAAAAGCCAAGGACTAATTAGCGAAAGTAAATGTTATGAAGTAATCTCCAATATTTAATGAACGATATTACAAAAAGGTTTCGTTGGTTAACTAGTTAACGTGAACTAATAATGAACTGCACTTCTAGTGCATTTATGAATCTTTTTCTGTTAATTTCGACATTAATACATGATTAAAATCAAAAGTTGTAGTTGTTGACATTAATGCACTGTGAAGTAATAAAATGAACAGCTGTATTTTTATTTACTAACGCTAACAAATAGTTCATTTTAGTTAATACATTAATGTTAACAAATGAGACTTTATTGTAAAGTGTTGCATTGATATAGTATTTCAGAGTTTCATGAAATACAGTATTCTTCAACTGGATTTCATAAGTGCTTGGGTCTATTAAAGGGTTAACCTTTTATCTGTAAAGGTTAACTCAGGTTGGCAATCCCTCAAATATCATGCTCAAAATTCTTTATCACATCTTTCAATAATAACAATAACAACCATTATTGCATCTCTGATGTATACAGATATTTATATGTCATGAAACATGCTCTTTTTTTTTTTTGATTATATTATCATATTTATATTTAATGTAGGCCTATGAACTGACCTATAAAGCGTTTAGGATTTGAAAGTTATAAAGTGTTACCCAAAGTTATGATTGACCTTTTGTGTATAAAGTAATTGGCAACATACTTCCATAATACATGAATAGCCTAATGTTTTTATCACACTTTATTTGTAATTCTGAATCGTCACTGCATCAAACAATAAGCAACAAAATTACATTTGCTTCGATGTACTACATTTCTGTCTCAATGTTTTTATTTTAAACCTCTTATTAAGGTCAAATTATACTAAAAAAACAATAAAAGACGTTTGTTGTGCATGTGTCTGTTGTATTTCCTGAAAACAGCTAGTCTCTTGAGTAATCAAAACTGCATGGCCAAAACAAGCTTGGCCTGGGGACTTTCTTTTACAAATCAGCACTGTCTGAGGATGTCTTTTTAAGTACTGTAAAGTCATTCAGATGTGGGGTCAGAGTTCTGACCGTGCCATTAAAACACAGGCAAAGATATAGTGCTCTCATTTAACTGCTCTGCTGCATCATATATCATCCCTCTGCCACCGAGCTGCATTAGAGAGGATCTTTGATTTTTACTTTTAGAGCAACATAAATCAAATGCAAGGCAAGGTCTGCCAGTGACATCCTGTATTGGTCCTCTCTGAATGGGATGCAGAGGGTTTGTTGACTGAGGTCAGGAGAACTAAACTAAACAAACCACAGTTGCAAATGAACAAAATAAAGATTGAATGGGCACATATCTGTCCAAAAACACAGAATTGTTAATTTAACCCTTAAATTCATGAAGGTTTCGCCAATCATTATCACATATTCGGATCTGTGACTGCCAGTCACAATAATAAAAAAAAATCTACTAATATTAGAGTAACAATTACAGAAGAATAAAATAAAGCATATTGTGTTAACTTTGGAGCTTGGAAGGGTTCAGTTTGAGCAGATGTTGTATACCATTATCACTGTCCTCATCAGAGCTCATCTCCCAGAACATTCAGCATCTGCCTCATATTCGCCATCTCAGATATATTCTCAAAACTGTCATATTCAACATCTTCAAAATCAATATTTTGATCACTGACAGCTTGTTCAACAGATCCACCATCCAGTGACAGTGACACTAATATTTGATTGCGTTTAGTACTTGCTCTGCAGTAAATCACTGAGGCATTTCAAGCTTTGCTGATGATACGTGATGATATTCTTTTGTTTTCTGCCTGCGGTAACTATGAATGAAATAAAAACGTCACTTGATCGTTGTGTATCGGACATGGCCACCTTGTGGAATAAAGGTGAATTGCACGGATTCACTCATCGAAGATTAAATTGTTGTGCAGAAAAAAAAAAACATACTTAAGGCCTGTTCACACCAGGACGAATTTCACGCGCATTATTCGCCGACATTTAACGCCTTGTGACTAAACAAAGGGCGCCAATGTAAGTGTGCACACCGACGCATAAAATGCCACATGTAAAAGCGTCATTTTTTTAAAAAAGTCTTCGAGTTCGTTTTTTTTAGTTTGATGTGCTGCACGAAAAAACTACACGACCAATGAGATTGGCGCTTTTGCTCACGTGTCTGGAGCTTTTGAAGTTACAGTAAAACACAAATCTTGCTGAGCACACATATGCAACGGTGAAGAAGATACGCCAAGTAGCGTCGCTACTGGTCTACACAGCCAGGAAGAAATAAGAAGAGGAAGATGCAAGGCAAGATGAATGTAGAGCTTCTGTTCTCGTTGGTGCTAGAACATAAAGAAATATATGACAAACGCGACAGGGACTACAAACATCTTGATAAAAGAAAACTGATATGGAGTGATATTGCAGAGCAAATTGGCGCCATCTAATGTCAGGGAATGAATTTGCATGTTCACTCAGCTCATCGTCAGTGAAAATCGCTTGGGTGTGAACACAAAAAACGCGTTGAAAAACGCTGACGAATAACGCGCGGGCGCGGTGATATTCGTTCCGGTGTGTACGGGCCTTTACACTGTTACACTCAGGTTGTTAGCGACCCAATAAGTAAAACATATATATATATATATCAATGAACGGGGAAACCAACATCTTTTATAATTTTAGTTTAATTTTTTTTTCTTGGTGTATTGTATTCAACAAATTAGTGAGGAGGAGAATAGTGAATGACTGGGTCACTAAAAACCTGAGGTATACGTTTTAGGGTTAAACTCACTTTAATCAAGTGGAACTGGTTAATTTTAATGAAATGTAATGGTTTCAGGCAATGTAAGTTTTAGCAAACCTTATATCATTGCTCATTGTTTGATTTCTGCAAATAAGTCTGTTATTTTGCTCAGTTCATTCCGTTCAGCACATTAAAATACTCTAAAGGCCGTAGTCAGAGATGTCTTCTTGATTTCGTGCTTGTGCAACGATGTCAGGGCGAACATTAAGGAGGCAACTGTCTCATTACCCAGACCTCTTTGGTCTTCCCCACCTCAGAGCAATCTTGTCAAACAGGATCTGAAACGAAAAGGGACATCTGCCAGCAGGACACCCACCCTCCCTACAGCTCACAGGAGGGTGTATTCGAGCCACATGTCCATCAGTCCTGTTGTGAAGATTTCATTTTATCTCCTCCTGCCCGCTCTCCGCCACTGTTTTGAGAGGTCCTGTCCTCTACTTTGATCTATGATGAACAGATGACCTTTTTCCCAAGTCAGGTGTCTGGCTCTGTAACATCATGTTCTAACAGTGTGTCAAAACAGCATGGCTCACCTTCTCCAACTCTGGTTATTTGTCTCGGATAGACTTACAAATCTGTTTTGAAGAGAAGCTGAGGTGAATGTGTTGGAGATGGCAGCACCTATAGGTGTATTATAATAGTTAAAAACAGAGCGAAAGTGATGATGTTGATTAAAGCAAACTAGAGAAAGTATCTGCAAATACTGCTTTTAGCAATTCATTCTGACTCAGTATTGATCAGGCAGAGAGATTACAAGCCTAGGAAGTGTTAATCAATGACACAATCAGGGTGTTATTCTTGACCCTGCAATAATTCAGTGTAACTGCAGTAGGTTGTAAAATGTTTTGCCTCCATTACAATAGTATGAAACGTTTTTAAGAACAATTGTATGTTATGAATATTTAAAACCAAAAATGTTGGTTTCACATTTTATATTAGGGTAATTCAATGCTATAGTTTATAGATAAACAAATAAGCTCAATGAAATCACGCTAGGATACATCAAAGCACATTTCAGCTCTATAATGATTGTAATCTAATGTAATGTAAACGTAATGTAGGCCTGAATGTAATTTATGGTTGAACTGTGTTCGCCGGACAATGTTTATATTGCACATTTATAATGGAGCAAGTTGTCACATGTGTTCAAATCTTTACATGTTATTTTGGTCTTTCATAATCATTTCATGTTTTGTTATGTTCATTCATGTTCTAATATCATAATCTCACTCTGGCTAACACAGTCTCATCCCAAAAAGTCATATAACTGACGTTTTGGGACGTATTTTGACCATACGTCAATATCAGCCTTTTTAGGGCCCCCTTAATAGTCGGTAGATGGCGATCCCGGGCCGTCATACAACTGACGCTTTACCTTTAACGTCAGTTAGGTGACGGGTTAGGTTTAGGGTTAGGTTTAGGTATGGGGTAGAGTTAGGATCCCATAACCTCATCTACCGACGTTTAAGGGGGCCCTAAAAAGGCGAATATTGACGTATGGTCAAAAGACGTCCCAAAACGTCAGTTATATGACGTCTTGGGGTGAGACCGGGTTGCTCTGGCAACTTACCCCATAGTGTGGCAACATGCTCCATTATCACAAAGCGCCAACACGTCTGAACTATAAAGTGCTTTTCCGCATAGAGGTGGATTATTTAAAACACGGTTGTAACAAAAGCCTTAACCTTGCTAATTCATTGGAATGGAAACATACGATAAGATATCGCA